TATTTCAACGAATTGAGAATATCCTACCATTTTGAAGTATGTTAAAAAAAATTGTTAATAAAGTGAAAAGTAGGGCATGAACATATATTATAAAGTATATAAAATGATAGATAAATCCAGTTTCGAAGGTATTATAAATAAACTGTGGAAATATCGAGAATCTCGATTTTGAATCGGAAAAATATTCTACGCAATTTAGTATAAAAGCTGATCAAAATGAAACACATGAACGACAAACTGTTAATGACAACTTTCTTCAAACGTTTTCTATTTTTCCGAAAACTAACTAGATAGTTCGAAAATCATTTCCTTCGTTAAAACGCCTCTTGTTCCGAAAAAGGTACACGCCTGCCAACATTCATCGTTCATTAAAAAAGTGGCAGATACAAAACGCTTCGTATTGTAAGGCCAAAATATATTTAGAAATCGAAATAGTCATATAAACAAAAAAATCATATGAGTGAGATAACTACCAAATTAATGATTTACAAGTTTATTCCTATTATTTATAAAATAGGTTTGCAATGTGCTGGTGTGGAATGTTATCATCGACTAAAAACTTTAAATCTTTATATTAAATTGATCGAAAACAAACTATAAATTGGTTTAGGCTATATAGAATGTTTCTAGTAAGCAGCAACTAATTTTTATTATGGAACTGAAAGACCCTTTTAAAAAGGTTCAAAATTAAAATAAAATATGTACCAAGTAAATGTAGTAGTATTTTTTAATTTTTTAATTTATATTGAAAATGGTAACATGAAAGGTTTTCTGTCTAACGACTCATAGTCTCGGCTGACAAAATGTAAAAAAATATCGAACATAATATTCCTGGACCCTATTTTGCACTCCCCAGATTAAATTTAGTTGTAGCAAATGATATTATCAAATAAGATGTCAAATCACAAGCAAAATCTCGTGACTACAGTACTAATGATTGCCTGTTTGGAAAAGTATCTTTGTTTCTAAATATTTATATGCATAGTTATATTTAAATGCGCGAGTGTAATGTTAAGTATAAACAAAATCCGCCCATTATGTATATACGTTTAGTTACCGACCCTAGTAGATAGGCAATTTGTTATTGTTTTAAGTTTTACCGTAGGGAGAGAGAAAATCAATATTAGGATAAATGGTCCAGCTCCTTTCTGGTTACGTAGGTACCTAAAAAGTATTTTAGTTTTTGGTTAAGTAATTAATTATTGTAACAGTGATTTTCTTGTGATAGTACCTAATTTAGATTGTGGATTAAAGTTTTTGTATATAATTTCGCTGTTTAATAATAAACGTAGTCAAAACCGGAGCACGTGGTTTTTCTGGAAAGTATTTTTAAAATCACAAGCAAAATCTCATGACTACTGTACTAATGATTGCCGAAAATTAACTATTTCATATTTTATGCCATATCTTTCTTAATAAGGACTGTCAGAACCATATTTACCTTAACTTGAAATTTTTTTAATCGTTTTTTATATAGAATCATCTCTAAAAATGTATGATTGAAATATCGTGCGAACTATTTGTTCGATCAATAAAAAACTTGCACCGGTCCTGTTCGCGCCAGCACCGTTATACGCATGAGCTCCGACACACTATTTTCTCCTTATGGTTTCATTTTTGATATATGGAATCGGCTTTCTATACTATTTCTATGTAAATAACCCTCTTATTATACATAGACCATATTTTCTGTGTGAAATGTATGCAATATAAAATTATTATTAGGTTTATAATAGCCACATTAGACTCCATTAATGAAGAAATTTAATTCTGTTCTCAATTATACAAGAGATTCTCCATTATTATTTAATTAAAAAGTTGTATATTATTTTTCATTTCATTTAACCAGTTGATATTTCCCCAAAGAACAGGTCAAACTTTCGGGTACTTACCTGGAAATACTCATAAAATTTTTAATCCGAAACCCGTGTAAGTATAGCGAACAGACTGTATTATATAATGCTGTAGAACTAATTCACATTATAATATCGATTAAACGTTTCAGTACAACTTTTCGAGAAAAGTACTGTTAAACTGCTAATGTGATGTTCTCTGAACTTCACTTTGTAACAACTAAGAGGTGTGCTATACAAATCTTCAAGTTGCGTACAATCGGTGATTGTATGAATGTTAGGGTTAAATTAAAAGTACATTTCATAGCGAGCTTAAAGAGTAGATGGGATGTTTATGCGCTTGCTAGATGGTTTTTAAGAACCATTTCATGTCGCTTTTTGTTTAAGGTTTAAAAATTGTTTGAATAATTTTTGTAAACATTTTGAATCCTCTCTTTTTTTTATTGCACATTTAATGGAAATATAAGCGATTTAATAAAAAGGGCACTAATAATAATAATAATAATAATAATAATAATAATAATAATAATAATAATAATAATAATAATAATAATAATAATAATAATAATAATAATAATAATAATAATAATAATAATAATAATAATAATAATAATAATAATAATAATATTAATAATAATAATAATAATAATAATAATAATAATAATAATAATAATAATAATAATAATAATAATAATCTTTATTAACCAACAAACGGAAAAGATTACAATAGTTGTTAAAAAAAAAAAAAAGAATTCAATTTAATAAATAGGTTGGTTAAAAGGCGCCTATTCAGCAAAGCTGTTCTTCCATAAGGACCTATCGCAAAGTAAAACCTAAATTTGTAATTATATATTATAATACCCTAAATAAATAAAAAAAAATACTTATAAAATAACATCTTATCTTACGACAACATAACCTTTTCTCCTAGATTGTTTTTATAATAATATTTGTTAATAATAACAATATTAATAATAATAATAATGATAAAAAAAGATGTAACAATAATATTATAAAACAGGTCATAAAAAAGTTTTCAAAGAATTTTTTTTTAGGTTAATACCTACATCTACATCTGCTTATGGCAACATAACCTCTTTTCGTAGATTGATTTTATTATAATATTAATAATATTAATAATAATAACAAAATCGTATTTATAAAACAAGATATAGGAAAGCTTTCAGAGAAGAAGTTTTAACGGATCTGAAGATAATATCTACATTGCTCTTGAAAAATAGTTTTTTTTAAGTAATATTTAAATGAATTTAGAGATTTTCTTCTTATATCAAGTGACAGTTCATTATACAAAGCGGCAATAGTGTATGAAAAAGATCTTGTAAATAAGGCTATTTTGTGTTTCGGTAAAGTTATTGTATGTTTGTAACGTATGTTAATGTTGTGAACGTCTTCTCTATAAGTAATTTTTCTTGTCAAGTAAGGTGGTTTTTTATCAGATATAATTTTGTGAAAAAACGTAAGAGAATGCAATCTACGTCTATTGGCCATATTTAACCAGTTTGCTGTTATAAGCTTATGACTAATTCGATCGTACTTCCTAATACCGTAGACTAATCTAAGGCAGGAGTTTTGTAATTTTTGGAGTTTGTTCTGATCAACGACTCGTAAACATGGTCCATAGACATAATCGCAATAGTTGGCATGCGAAAGTACCAATGACTCTGTCAGTAATAACTTAATTTCTTGTGACAGATATATCCGATTAGCATACAAAAGCTTTAGATTGGAATATCCATTCTTTAAAATATTATTGACGTGATAAGAAAACCTAAGATTTTGATCAATAATAACACCTAAATTTTTCGATTTCTCAATAGGTTTTAGAATATTATTTTTTAGTTTAATTGTAATATTATCGTTTGTTAAACCAAATAATATAATATATGACTTGTTTGAATTTAACTGCAAATCGTGTTTACTAGACTGGTCAATAAGATTTTCCAAATCACTGTTAATTTCATTTTGCAACATTAACAATTTTTTTTTACTACCGAAACGGTACAATTGTGTATCATCTGCATACATGTGCATTTTTGAAAAATTTAAACAAGTAGGAAAATTGCTAGTGTAAATGGTAAATAAAATGGGCCCAAGAATTGAACCTTGAGCTACCCCTCTTTTAATTTCACCTTTGTTTGAGGTGTGTCCTTTATATGTAATTACTTGACGTCTACGATTGAAATAATTTTTAAACAGATCTATGGCTGACTCATGTACACCTATAAATTTTAATTGTGAAAAAAGCACAGTGTGACTAATTGTGTCAAAGGCCTTGCTGTAGTCCAACAAGATCAGTGCTCCGACATTTCCCTTATCTAGTTCCCTAAAAATGTCATCAGTGATATTTAGCAATGCACTACCACAACTATATCCCGGCCTAAATCCAGATTGCACCTCAGGGAGGATATTATAAGTATCTAAGTGGGTACGAAGTTGAGTTTCCATGACCCTTTCAATTATTTTAGAAAATGTTGGAAGAATGGTGATTGGTCGTATATCTTTTAAATTAGTGGGGTTTTGTATTTTTGGGATTGGAATTACCTTACCTACTTTCCACTGATCTGGGAACACAGAAAGGGTTAAGCAGTAGTTTATGATATTGCTTATATATGGCAGTATAAATGGACACGTGAATCTTATAAGTGTTATATCTATATCATCTGTTCCTCTAGCTTTAGTTTTTATGTTAATAATTATTTTGCTAATTTCATTTTCAGTAACAGGAGTAAATCTAAAAGTATTAGGGAAGTTTTGTTGACGATTGTTTTCATAATAACGAACAAGATCTTGAGAAATAGTACTATCTTTTCCAACAGTATCAAGAAAGTAATTATTAATATTGTCTGCATTGCAGTCAAAATCAAACTCAGAATTATATTTTAAAATAATATATTTTTGGTGAGACAATTAGTGTTAAAATTCTAGAAACTGAAACCTAAAGCAGGTAAAGAAACCCCAAAACTACCCCAAAATTACTATTTATAAAGTCTATAAAAAATAATGTTCTCCCGTACTAAAAATAAAGATTAAAGCAGCATCAGGAGGCACATCAGTTGTATTGCATAACTCCACAATTACTCATTTTCAGCTATTTTATAGAATTGCAACTGTATGCAAGTTTAATCTACGTTAGTGCATACGAAGAAAATGTTGACTGTCAGAAGTTTTATCCTAATCGGTGCCATCTTCGTATCCTGTGCCAACGGTAGGCCCGCAGATGGAGATGCCCAGGCGCAAACTATCAAATTTAACAATGATTTAAGGTTGGACGGATATAATTTTGAGTAAGTTTAATAATATTTTTGAAACATTTTGGTTTTGTTAAATCTTTCTTCTACATTCACTAAGAAATATAAGTATATTATTTAATAAAAAAATAGTAATGGTAAATATTATTATACAAATCAATAAATAAATACACAGAATAAATAATATAGAATCAGTGTTTTGTACCTTATAATCAAAAATGTTTTTTACAATTTCTTCCACACGATAAAAAAATTGTGAATGTTCTTGCTGCCTAAATAAAGAAAATGTTTTATTTCGCTTTTAATGAATTAATTAATTTATTCGCTCAAGATAATGAAGATTTATGAATTATTTATATAATTATTTTTTCTTAAATCCGTCTCAGAAATATTTGGTCTCAAAGGAATTTTTGCTAATAAATTCTTAAAAAAAAATTATGTAAATTAATTCTTAACACAGTATCTAGCAATTAATTTATATTTTATAAACGCACAACTTTTTTGCTATTTAAAAAATATTATTAGGTAAATCAAGAATTTTTCTAATAAATTAAGTTCATTGTGGGTCAAAATAATTAGTTTTTGCATGAATGGAGTTTGCTAATCTAGTTGAATAATTATTATGATCATTTTTATCATGAAATTATTTTTTCCAAAATTTTACGACGCATAGTTTCTGAGATACGGATGGTGTCTACTATGTCCAGCCTGAATTAAACACTCTGTATAAATTTAGAAAAGAAAATTGTAATTTAAATTGTAATATTTTTCTTTAATATAGAAAATAACTTATGATAAATAACTTGTTTTATTATATTTTTGAATATTTAATTTCCGAAATAATTATTATACATTATTAGATTTGTTTATTGCCTTACCTTATATAACTAATTTACATAAAGTCCTCTTGTATTTACATATTTTTTCTTGGATTTTCTTGAATTTATGCAAAAATTTGGATTTAGAAGTATTAAATTTAGGTCTTTCGCATTGATAAAAACTGTTTTCTGATGATTGATCACAAACTAATTAAATTTTATAAATCTTAAATTGAGAACACATGATTATGGCATAGACGGCAATCTACAAATCCAATAAAATCTTATCGGTTTTAATTTTTCTTTACGTATCTTAGAGATATGAAAAGTGCCCAAGCAATTTATTGTATTTTGCCAAGAACTGTTTCTCACCCTTCTCGATTGGTCCGAAATCGACAAGGTGATTACGTCACCCTTATTTCCACGATACAGCAAACCTTCAAAAACCAATAGATGATAACACGCGATGCTCGAATCGACGTGGTGAATGATTAATTGGCTAAGCTATAACGAGCGAGGATGCTAATGCTCGTTAAAACGACCAAAAGTACTTTTAAATCATCGAAATAACATCAAAACACCAGCTTTTCGCATTGCTTGAAAAACTCAAGTCATACCGGCAGAGGGATGGATGCCAGAACGGGTGAAAAGCTCTAAAAATACTTACAAAAAGTGCAAGACAGTTATGCCAAGAAGAAATATTTACAAAAAATTTGCACATCAATTGTTACACCTGATGGATTTCACCATTATTATCACAATCTACCTGTATCCAATAATGTTAAAGATACAGTACCTTAATCTTACATTGAAGATAGTGACACAAACGTTGAATATTATGCCTTGTATGTAGACAGCTAAAATAAATTAAATGACGTTTGTTTCCCTTTTTTTTTTTTGGTTACCAATCGATAGATTCTTAATTTATACTTTGTGAAGTGAAGACTAGAAGACTACTTATGTTATTATTAAACAGTCTGAAAATCTAAAAATGTGAATTATCTTATTTTTGCAGTAACCCGAACGGGATGTATTTTTGGTTAGAGGTTTTCACTAACTAATTTTAAATGGATGGCCTAAATAAAAGGTAATCATTCAAAAATATTGCGACCCGTGTAAAATAACAAACATACGTATGTAGCCCCAAAAAAAAAGGTTGAGTCTGACTGCTTTAAAGTTACCTTTGGAATCAATACCATAGGTACAAATTGCGTACTTAATAAATAATATCCGTTATGGATAAATGAAAAGAACATACAGTGTTTACTAAATGTTCCAAGATATTGTGTTTTGTGATATACCAGGTGGCTTATGATTTTTTTATGAGCCTTTTAAAAAAAAAACAAAAAATGCTAAAAAGGCAATGGCTCGTTTCTTTACATATTTTTGCAATCATTTAATAAAAAAGTTTTTCCTCTTTACCTTATACCATAAGAATGAAACAACGTTTGAAAGGTTTGATTTTCTAACGACATCCCTATATTTATGAAATAAACAGTTAATTATGTAATTAATTATCTATAATAATTATTATTTTCATTATATTTTAATCCTGCATTTAATTAGTAACGTAATACGCCATCAGTAATTGCAGCTGCTTAAAATTTTTCTTCAATATTCACATAGTGCTTAACCTTATTTTATTATGTTACATTGACATTTGTACGCTTCCCACCAAAGATGTTAATGTAGGAATGTATGTTTATTTTGCAATATAGCAATTGTAATCATTTACATAAGCACACAAGACGAACTTATTAGCATCTTTAATATTGAATAAAATGAAATTCTTTTATTGTCGTTTTATGAAATTATTGATATTTAATTAAATAAAAATGTAGATTTTAATCAAGAATATGGCAATACAATATACAAGGACAAATGACTATATGGAAGAAAAGTTAAATGAATATATGTTAAATAAATTAAGAAACAATATAAAAAATAGTAAAAAAGATAATTTAGAAACTCAAAATATAAGTCACAAATATGTCTTTCCCAATTGGCTGAATTATTTTTGTAATATCTATAATTTTTTTCATATGCAAATCAATTCGTTCACCCTCGAGGATTCTTAACTAGTAACTATTTAATGTTTTACTTTTATCTTGAAGTGTTTTAGGAATAATTGTTTAAATTAATTACCCTTTAAACCTGATGATGGCTTGAGACAGACACCGAATGATTTAAGTTACTGTCTTACTATAAAATAATTCTTCAAATTAATTTTTGAAGACAGCGAACTATTATTAATGGAGTATTTAATGACTGTATTTTAAGTTTTGGATCATGCAGGACTTTTTATCAAGAAAAACTTTTTTTCCTAAAATCAATAATAAAAATGTTTTCCATATGGTTCCAACACACTGTATATTTTTGTTTATATATGTTGTGATAATTCTTTAACACGGTGTTCGATTTCTATAATTCTTTTTTTGTTAGAAAAGGGGTACTTCAGAGGTAGTCCCATACAAATTTAATTAAAATGTAATAATTGGGTCCATGAGAAAATCCTCAAAATCCTAATTTTTTTATGTATGTTTAGCGATAATTATTTACCATCTTGTCCGATTTCTATGATTCTTTTTTTGTTAGTAAGGGGTTACCTCAAGGGTGGTCCCATATAAATTTGGTTAAGATGTGGTGATGGCATCTGCACGATTTTGAAGTCGATTTTTTTCAATATTTCAACCCCCATCTCTTATCTCCCCAGTTTTATGAAGATTGTTTTTCAAATTCAATAGGCTTCAGTTCCTTATATATCTTAATTTTTACTAAAAATTTCATGTTGATATCACTTTTGATTTTTGGTTTTTTATTTCTATTTTATTTATTATTTCAACCCCCCTAACCCCCTATTTTTAATAAATATTTTTTTAACTTGTAATAATTTAAAACATTTACTTTATTTCATGAATATAGTTTTTTAAGAATTTCAAGAATTTTGCATAAAAAGTTTAATATTTTGTTACATACCGGATATTTTTAAAGTTATCGAATATGAAATTTAAATTTTTATCTATTTATTATTTACTAAAGTCTAGTGACATTTTAAAATACCAAAGTTGAAAGATGAAATGTTCGAAAGGTTGATTTTTTTCTTTCGTATAATTACTATAAATATAAGGAAATGCTTACAGTATGTCCGAATTAATCGCATTAACCTTGAACGGTATGATTTCAAGTTGATGTATGTAATAATTTTTTTTTATCTAAAATAGCAATATTTATTTTTGTATACCTACATAACAAAAGATTATCTTCCATGGAAAATTACCATAAATTAATCAGGTTTTAGCAATTTACAATAATTATTTATTGTTTTTTTCTTGCAATATTTTTCTTTAATAATATAATGACTGAATTAAAAAAAACTTATATGGTTTTTAAATAATATATTATAAATAGATTTATTAGTTATTGGCTTATTTTAAAAGCATATAATAGGATGTATATAATTAGAATTACTGATATAATGATTCATTTTTACATTTTAGTTTCGAAACGAGCAATGGTATTAAAAGAACAGAAAATGGTGTTCTAAAACCAGGAACTGACAAAGAAAACGACCAACTTCTCAACGTAGATGGCGATTTTTCCTTCAACCTTCTTGATGGAACTCCGATGAGCGTCAAGTTTGTGGCTACGGAAAATGGCTACAGACCCACAGTTGTTATTGGCCAGCCTAAATCTGGACGTCGATAAAAGAGAAAAATTACGGTTGCGATATAATTTTTAGACTAAAAAAAAAAAAAGATTTATTACGTAAAAATTTCATGACAAAATTTTTTTATTAATAATATTACTTTAGTTAAATTTGTTTTTTTTTGTAAAATATATTTTAAAAATTTAAATCGCAATCTTAATTGTCTTTATACGAATTTAATGTACATAATTTTTATTTTTAACACTGCTTGCAATAAAAAAGTTTTAACAAATTCTGTTAATTTTTTATATTTATTTTTATATTATTTTAACTTGTTTTTACGCATTACCATTACAAAACTCTTCTGCCAAACACAGAATCCCCAGATATTTGAGTTGACTCCATGAAGATTTAATCTAAATTATCTTAATCCGAAAATACTTCATAGTGGACTGAATAAGGGGCAAAAAGGTTTCAATTTTTTTTTTGAGGTACAACCACATGTGGTCATTACAAAATAATAGTCTAGGTCCCTGGCCATCTGAAATCGGCAATTACAATATTTTTTAATACGGGCAACACTTTTTATTGCGAAATTTGTCAAAAATCTGTCAAAATTATGTTTTATTACTTTTTCACACATACCTCGCGATATCTTCGGAACTAAACAAGATATTTTCAACATTTTTTTTTTTAATCGGCAGAAGAAACGTATAATCGGAGATTACTGCGTTAGTTTCATTAGTATAGAGAACCTAGTTTTTTTTGTAAAACTAGACAAAACTTTAATCTTTACTTTTTTGCAGTACTATTTTCAGTAAACGAGAAACTTTTTTATTTTTTAAAATTTCACTAAACTATCTGCGTACCAAATAAAGCTAAAGCTTCAAGAAAGTTTTTAAAACAAGAATTGTTATTATAAGTATCATAGTTTTTGAACAATAAATACGCAAACTTGAAAGTTTCTGCAGCGTTTAATTATTGGGCTTTCTAACGAGAAGACATCTCTTCGCGTCCCGGATACGAGAGGGAAGAAAACATGGGGCAAAAAGAATTACAGTAGTGTTTGATACCTATTTACCCAATTCGTTAAAATTTCTAGGTTTTTCTCCTAGGACTTTATCATCCAAATACCTTCACTTAATGATAGCTTTGATAGCTTCGTATGGTTTTGGAGGACATTATAAAAATAAAGATAAAATTGGAATAATTTTGAAATATATTAAAATAGTCTCTTTGAAAGGTATGATTTAGTTATTATTATTCCTTTATAATAGAAAGTAAATACAGGATAAGAGTTGGAAGTAAAAATTACGTCATCTTATCCTAGTGTTTATCGTCAATATGCACCAAAAATTTAAATAATTAAAACTTACATCAATACTTCTCTTGCATAAAAATCTATACATTAGATAATATTTCACATTTTTTGTTTTTTTTTCCATTATAAAACCACAAATTGATTTATTGTGCGTTGAAAAACACTCTCTAACACATGGATTTATTTATTGTGGTCAAGGGAATTGTCCCACTGATCTCCAAACGACTAGGGTCTCTTCGCATTGAACATAAGAAAACCTTCAATCTCTTGATAAATTCCCAAATATCTATTATTAATATTAATGTATGCTTTCTATTTTCTTCGGTGATGCGCGGTTATGTAATTAATCAACGAATTTGCATTATTTATTTATTATTACTGAATGCATACCAATATAATCAAATAATTTTTTGTCCTAGGTGCTGATACAGGGTCGGAATAACAATAATTTTTGGAAATTTGGAGAAATGCCCAATATGTAAAAACAAATAAAGATAAAAAATTGAAACTAGAACTATATTGAAAAGAAAATACAATTGTATACAATATACTAAAATATATACCAAAATAAGACATTTACATCCTCATTATAAATGTTTGTTTTCTAATTTTTAATAAATTTTTGTTATGTTTTGTTACTGAATAAATTCTTTTTGTTAATTTTATTTAATGTCAGTTTAAATAAAGAAAACAGTAGTGTTACTTAAAAACTCGAAAATCTGTGTTGTTAAGAAAACAAAAGATATCAACCTATACATTTTTAAAAAGTAGATGAATCTCTCTTTTGAATGCCATTAAAATACACAGGGTGTTCCATTTAAAATAATACATATTTTTTCCACTCAAGTTGACCAACATTAATGGATCACCCTGTATTGATGTGATAAAATGTGAACAAACTGAAAAAAACTTTTTGATAAACGAAATCAATTAGTGAAAACCCCATCTCTTTAGAGCAATTATTAAGCTGTGCATTTATATTTAAAATCGATCACTCTTATTTGGGACACCCTGTATATTATTCTTAATATCGATTTAGAATTAAATATAATATTTATTTAAGGGAGAAACATAAAAACATGTGAACATTTGGAAAAACGTTCAATATGTAAAAATAGAGATAAAAAAATTAAACTAGTACACCGAAAAGAGAATACAATTTTACAAATTATTTAAAATTCTATAAAGGAAGTGACAAAAAAAAAGATCGACTAACTTTCAATAATCAAGAAGTGAGATTATTATTAAAACACAAAGCAGTACTGAAAAAATAAAAAAAAAATAATTCTGGAATCTATTGTATTGTAATTAACATAGATTGTTCATTTGATTAAATATATTTTTCAAAGATGTAATTTATTTTTATTATTTTGTTTATTTTTCCAAAAGTATTTTTTCAAGAATAAACAAATAAGTAAACCACCATTTACAAAAAAACACATCTTCAACAAAGTCCATTTGTCAAATACCTATTAATCTATCAGTAAACTACTTTATCAGGAAATTCAAAAGTGAAAAGAGAAGAAGTTATTTGCGAGATAAAAATTATGCGACACTTTATCTGAAGGTGAACCTAAGATTATTTGGAGCATTATGTCAATATGTTTTTATTTTTTCGTCATACTGTACTATTATCTTACCATAATATGAGCGAAATTGATATAGAAAAGGTGCATTTAACGGCCGCCGGCCGTTAAATAAAATAACGGCCGCGTACCACCTACAACAATCACAACAATCTAAAGTTGCCTAGCAACCACATCAATATACTATACAAACATTGTAAGTTTGACAGTACTGTTTCTTGTTGACTGATTATAGAGCGGAAAAGATCAAAGATGGAAGAAATTTTCGAAAATGATATTCCCTCCGATGTACTGGAAGAAGCAGCTGCGGCAACCAAAAATTTATTTCCGAGTACAACCCAACAAAGATATCATCAGGAATACGACAACTTCGTGAAGTGGCGTCAGAATAAAAACATACATAGTATAAGTGAAGAAGTACTGCTAGCTTATGCAAAAGGAATGTCTGAAACGTATTCTCCTACATCACTGTGGACAAAAATATCAATGCTGAAACTTGCGTTAAGAATACATGAAAACATTGACATATCAAGGTAAATTACTATACTATCCGCCAACATTGAACTAACTATATATCGAAATTATGTTTGTAGATTCGGTAAACTATTCTTGTTCCTGAGGCGCAAAAATGAAGGTTATACCCCAAAGAAAGCCAAGGTTCTATCGGAAAATGATATACTTAAATTTTTGCTGGACGCGGATGATCATACCTGGCTACTGGAAAAGGTTGTGTTAGTGCTCGGTATTCTAGGAGCTTGCAGGAGAAGTGAACTTACGTCTCTCACCATTAACAGTTTCGAAGATACAGAGAAAAACATCCTCGTATCACTAAAAAATACTAAGAATAAAAAAAGACAGAAATTTTCTTATCCCAAAAACAGGACTTCCATTTGATGCATATGGTTTATACAAGAAATACAGTAATCTGCGTCCTCCTAGTTTCAAAAATCAGAGATTTTTCGTTGGTTATAGGAATGGCAAATGTGTGCAGCAAGTCGTCGGCATACATACCATCGGAAGCGTTCCTAAGAAAATTGCCACCTTTTTAAAACTTGAAAATCCCGAACTTTATACAGGACATTCATTTCGTAGAACATCAGCAACTATGCTCGTAGAAAATGGTGGTGACTTACTGTCATTAAAAGAACTGGGAGGATGGGAATCATCAACGGTGGCGGAAACTTACATAGAAAAATCGGTTTCTAAAAGAATGAAAATAACAAAACAACTTTTTCCAAATAATCCGGAGAATATTGCATCTTCAAGTACTGCAAATAGTTCACAATCTTCAGAAACATCTTCCTCTGTAAAATCTAAATATCCTTGGGACGGGTTGCAGATTTCAAATAACACCAATTGCGAATTCAATTTCCACATCCATTACAATAAGGAATAAATTGTTTTATTCCGTACCTATCTTTTAAGAGTTACGTTTAATAAAATTTGTTCTTAAATTAGGTGTTTTGTTTTTGTAGCAGTATGACGAAAAATCTTGAACGAAACACGGCCGATAACAGCAAATAACGGCCTTGGCTGTTTATGATCCTCGGCTATCGCCTCGGATCACAAACTTCAGCCCGGCCGTTATTTGCTATTTATCGGCCTTATAACGTTAATAACTATGTTGAGCTGACTGTTGAACATAATGGTTCACAGTTGTTTTTTGTGTTTTCTTTTTTTTATTAATATTTTCACTGTTATTTAGATGAGGAATGGAGGTAAGTTTGGCTTTTTCATTTATACTTATTCTTTATTCTTTAAAATTGTTTGGTAATTACCGGGTGGCCTTCTTCAAAAAAAAATCTTAATATTAAATGCAATTACAAAAATTTTAACATTTTAAGAAACAATAAATACTGAATTGCATTTGTACACACCTTGCATACAAATTCCTTACGTCAACAAGTTAAAAAAAAAAAATAGTTGGATTCTGGTTAAGTCGATCTCAGATGGCCATTAATAGTCGCTCGGGTAGTCAGATTATTTTAATCAGATTATACATAAAAATAAGAAAAGTTAGTTATGCCAAACCCAAGCTGATAATTTTAAGTTTCTTTAAATTGGTGGAATAGAAGCGTCCAATGCAGAAAATAATTCTTTTTAATTAAATATAAATTACTGCTACCGATGGGATTCGATCCTGAGACCTTTCGATCTCAAAGTTTTGACTCTATCCATTGATTCAACCCATCCCCTATTTTTTTTTATTTGGTGTCATCTGCATCGACTACTAAGGCCATTAGCCTCGTGTTCTGTGTAGGCATTGTTACTGTTTCCAAGCGTCATTTTAGGAACAGCACTGTAAATTAGAACCCAAATTTTTATAATTATAAAGTTATAGGACAAGAAATAATGTTAGAAGAAAAATAAGAAATGTTGACTAAAAAAAAAAAACATTCAAAACATCGGATCAATGCGGCCTATTTTTAATAGTATCATATTTATGTAATAATAAAGTTAATTTAACAGCTTCTTTTATTATAATAAACTGATTTTTAATCGCTCATTGCGTGCTTGAAAATCGTTAGTTGAGCAACAACAAATTACATATCTTTTTTGTACATATTTAACACCCAGTTTGTATTATAGTCCATAATTACAGTCCATATTTTCTATAAAAAATTACAAATCGCAGGTGTTTGAAGTTGTTTCGCAATTTCTGTTTTAATTTTTTTTCTTCCAATCCGGCGCTACTAATAACAAATTAGTTCGTCGACCTGTCTCTTCTTCTCTTTACCGATTCTACACACATAATGATGCGCATACATTTTGGCAAATACTGACCTGAATCCAATTCTTTTGCCCATCGGCTCTGTCGTCGCCTAAAAAAAAAACTAATAATCTCCATAATATATTGCCATTGTTCGGTGCATCATCAACAAACTTGGCCCCACTACTGAATTTCGGGTTGCTAATTGTTTATAAACAGAAAAAATTCTTTGTTTATCATTAGTTGTTTGTAAAAATCGTAAAGATGAGATCGCAAATTGTTCTTTTGGTTGTAGGATTGGTTGTTGTTTGTGTAGAGTCCAGGCCAAACGCCGAATCCAAAATTGTGAATTATGATAGTGATGTTAGGGAAGATGGCTACTCATTCTCGTAAGTATTACACCGATTAATCTAAGGATACCTTATCGATTACAAAACGTTAACATTTAGTCAAATAGTTGTTTTTTTACAAAATCTTGGAGTATACAAGGTTGACAATTCCGAAAAACATAAAAAAATATGTTTCAATTTCTTGCCCATAATTGAAAACCAACTTCAAAAGGGTATAAGTGCCAAAACTATGGAAAACAGTTATGAGTAAAATGAAAATTTTATTTATTTTTATTTATAATAAATAGATTTCTTTAAAAATGTTTTTGTAACCATTTGGATACGTTATGATTGGTACATTAAATCTTTTTATTCCAAAATGCCATAATTTTTAAAATTTTGGCACTTAGACCATTTAAAAGTTACAGTCTTCAATTATGATAAGGGTTATCAAAAAATTTAGAGATTTTACAATCATCGAGGACATTGTAAATGATAATAGCTTCTTTTTTACATATCAGTCAGTTGTTAGAATAAAATAAGCCACCTTCTTTACAGGGTGAATCAAAAATAGCGACAGTTTAACATATTCGGCATATTTTTATCATTGGTCCTGGAAGTGATCAGTTTTCATTAAAATATCTTTATTGGGATCCTTTTTTATGTTAAGAATAATTTTCTTCAAAAGATTTGGCTTTTTTTCGAAGCAATATATTTTTTAAATGTTTGGTTTTTAAACTCAAAGAAGGCATATCGCTTAATATAATTCAAATTAAAGTGTTACAGTTAAATATCGCCTTTTATAAAAATAAAGTTTATAATATAAAACCGTGAGTTAGTTTGCATGCACGCATTTTTAATTTATGGTATTTCTAATTGTGTGATCTACGAAAGCGTAGAAAGGAGCACACTATTTTTTTTTCAAATAAAGACGAAAGTTCGAGATAAAAGTCAAATTTTTGAGATAAAAGTCAAAGTTTCGAGATAAAAGTCGAAATTTCGAGTTTAAAGTCGAAATTTCGAGATAAAAGTCAAATTTTTGAGATAAAAGTCAAATTTTCGAGATAAAAGTAGAAATTTCGAGTTTAGAGTCTAAAATTCAAGTTTAAAGTCGAAATTTCGAGATTAAAGTCGAAATTAGTTTTGTCAGAGGCTATACATGAAGAGGATATTTTTTCTACTTTTTCAAAAATATATTGAGACGAATCTAGTTTTTCGTTCTTACTATTCCAGGATGGCATGATTTTTGAAGATGATAAAACTTAGATTTTATTTGTTGCACAGTCAAATATTTGAAGCTACACTGAACAAATCAAATGCGATTAGTATAGCAAACTTACACCTAGTGCAACAAAAAAAAATCCACTATTAGATTAACCTTTAGCTAATGGTCGTACTACGGCATATGACCCTAAAGAATAAGTGGAAACAGCACTATTTAAAAGACAATTGAATTGATACGAGTTACGAATATATCAATGGAAAAAAATTCTACAAAAAGCATTTTTAATCATCTAGTGTTAAGTGGTACCTACATTTTAAAATCATTTCAGCAATATCTACCATTTCCATTAGCAGTTAAGTTCGTTTTTTTTCATATTTTTATTAGTTTGTTTTACATACCATACGAGCATAATACAGGGTGTGGATAATTTTCGATAGTTTTCTTTCATTAAAAAATATATTAGTAGTAATAAAAACAATTGAAAGAGTAGAAAAATTGATTTTAATATTGTTTTTTCAATATTTATTAGGGAGTGGAAAATAAAATGAAAATTAACACATTTATTACCTATTATTGAATTAACTAAATAAAATAAAAAATAAACAGTACAGTTATCACAAATTTAAAAAAAATGGGCTTGTACGCCCACGACATTGAATATGATTAAAAAATTAAACTGAACATCATTTAAAACATAAAAATTTCTAGATTTTCTCATTTTTCTGGTGCTATTAGTCAATAATTCGTTATCAATAATTTTACTGTATTAAACATTCGAAATATTATTCACACCTCACATTTACAATCGATTGTAAGAATGTTTATTACAAAAATTTTGATGCCGTCGGATAATCTGATGATTTCTTACAACCAGCTGTTAGTTCCATATTGGTATCATTAATCCCATATACACTAATATTATATAATTATAAACCGTTTAAATGACACCAGAATTTCATGGAATACTTTTTCTTTCAGATTTGAAACCAGCGATCCTATCAAACGTAACGAACAAGGCAAAGTCGTTCCTGGACCAGAACAACCCCAAGGCAGAAGTGCAACTGGCGGTGAACAAGAAAGCAACAGCATCCTGCAAGTCAACGGTGATTTCGGCTTCGACTTCCCGGAAGGTATCCCGTTCTACGTCACTTTTGTAGCCGACGAGAACGGTTACAGGCCAAAAGTGTCCTTTGGAACTAAAGCCGGACCTGGTGGCCATTAACAATAGCATCAACAAGCTTAAACTTTTGTAAAAACATTTTGTAAAAATTGTAAAAAGTATTATGTTGTTTAATTAAATTTTTTATACGTTTTTTTGATTTTTATTCGTACTGAACTATGAAACCTTCTAGATATCTACCATTTCTATGGTCTTTTACATTACAGGGTGGTTAAGTTATCTTTCGAAATCTAAAAGTTACCACACCACCCTTCCAATCCCATTTTTCCAAGGAAATTTAGAATTTTAAGTATCTTTATCCTGGACTGACCTTGTATGACCTCTATTGCACTTTTCCCTCTAGTCAAAATTTCCTAAAGAGTCTTTTGAGTCAGCAATACAAGGTAAGCATCTGCGACTGCTCTGGGACAAAAGAAAGTATCTGAGCTAAAAATAGTTCAAAGCATTTCATGGAGGATATTACTATATATTTTGCTGTTGATGTAATTAATAAATAATACAACTTTTTATGAGGCTTTTAAATAGAAATCTCTTATGAAAATTTTATTTTAAAGCAGTTATTCTTTTAGATCATTTTTAAAATATATCATTGTTCTAAGGAAAAACAAAATATGATTAACCATCCCGTGTGTGCTAGGAAGAAAGGGGGTACAGTAAGTGTCAAAATATCAATTTTGCCAAAAAGTTGATTACTTTGTTTTACCGTAGAGCAGCCGAATCTTCTTTAATATGTGTAACTTGTTCTTACTGAGACAGGTAGAAGCATTCAATTTTCCTAATTACTGTCTTATCCCCATACATGCTTCTGATAATAGTGTTTAACAATAATACATTATTTGCAGTCTATATTTGCATGATATGGTATTTCTCTAACATTAGTTACTGATAAAGGACCATAGTGTTCATAAGAAATCTTAAATATGTTTAGTCAAACATAGAAATTTACACATATCATGACACCTTCAAATTACGCAATGTCAATTGTTATGGCAGAAAGAAATGTTAAAAATATTTTTAAAAAATAAGTCGAAAAATAAGAATCAATACTATTAATACTATTAATATTAATAATAATAATAATAATATTCTCCCTAATTCGCCCCCTTACGAGTTAATCTCAACCCAAAAAGCTGAGTTAGTCCAGGGAAGAGAGGGCTATTATTATTGTTTGTCGTGACGTTCCAAGGCGACTTAAAGATGATTGATTGTGCCATTTAATTTACAGTTGAGAGAAAATAGAAAAAATGTCACAAATTTTGTATGGGTAATAAAAAAAATATTTTTTTTTTTTTAATAAAAAAGGGATTAATTAAAGCATTGAACCCCCTTAACTTGCCGATTTTTATTAAGTATTTTTTCAATAAGCTTTGTTCCCTTATAGAGCTTGTAATTTGCTAAACATTTTTCGTTTTTCAATTGAGATTTTTTTTTAATATTTCAATCACCTTAACCCCCCTATATTTTCAGATTTTATTAGAAATGATTCATTCATTCCAACATAGAGCTTGATTTTTATTAAAAAAGCCCGTTGATATCGATTTTCGTTTTGAATTTATGATTTTTTTTAATTTCAACCCCTTTAACCCCTCATTTTTATTCATAGGCTTTGTCCCTTTATAAAGCTTGATTTTCCTGAAAATTTTAAATCGATATTAGTCGCTATCTATTTAAAAGTAATATTTTTTTTTTAGATTTAAAACGACAGACGGCGATTATGAAAGAAGCGAGAAAGCAATTCTAGATGAGGACACTGGGATTTTTAAAGTCAAAGGAGATTACTTTTTTAAATACCCAACAGGAGAATTCTTTTCGTTTGAATTTGACACCAATCCAGAAAAGAAAGTTTTATCAAGATTCCATTTTGGTAGTATCGAACTTGGTGATAGAATACCGACGGCAGCTATAGCAACTCTCGCTGGAGGGGGCATTGGATAAATCAATAATCATTTTTTAAGGAAAGAATTGTTTACCAAAGACGACGATTTTTAGAAAAGAAGCTTTGAATATAATTGAGTAGATAGTACTAAGTATTTTTATTAATTTATTTTCAATTAAAGATAAGTTTTATTAATAAAAATTGGAAACATTGTATACTTTTATTAAGTCTTAATCACTGATTTGTAGTTTAGATAGATCTACTTACCTATTTTAACACTTGTGTTGTTGCATTTACAAGTAAAAGGAACCTGAAAAGAGTGAAGGAGCTTTACATGTGGGAACAACATATAAAAATGGCACAAGAAGCTTAATATCTTGGAATCACCCTTGATGACAAGCTAAACTTTTGTAGTTTTATAAAAAAAAACAACAGGATAAAATGTAAAAGCATTATGGGTCCATCGATGGATGGTAGGGGACACAAAGGGGGGATTAAATCAAGTACTCGCACTTGCTTTACACTATGAAGACTAGGCTTCATACTTTATACTAAGATGTTATAACCTACTCATCAGTCATAAGATGTGATAAGTATAAAAGCATAAGAGCTAGCTTAAAATAAGATAAGATACAAAGACAGTATGAGTTTTTAGAAGCAAGCTTAATGCAGCAATAGAGCTACTGCTAGGCCTTCCTCCAATACATCTTACTAACTTTGCATTAGTAAACAATTTTTTAGTATTACTAGTTAAAGTTTTCAATAAATTTGCTATCATTTTGCAAATAATTCACAGTGCCACAGTGATTGAGTCTATGGAGGGATGGGGGGATGCCGGTTGCTCACTGTCCCTAGAATTTGAAGTAGACCTTGTAAGGTGACTCTGCTGGTGTCGATATTGCTGGGAAATATTGGTTTGGATACTTGCAAGTTTTATTCTACAAAGCTATGGATTGGGTTAAAATCGGTTTACAAAAGCTTTTAAGGTATTCTATGAAAAAGTGTAAAAATTGTAGAAAGAAGGAATAAAAGAGCAATTATGATTAAAAAAATTGTAACCCATTGTTTAAGCTTCTATTAAAAAAAAAACATAATAGATCTTTGTTACTCTTTATTCAGTGGCGTAGCTAGAAAGGGAGAGGGTGTTTCCTATTTCGATATATTTTATACTTCATAAAAAAATTACCTTAACATTTTAAGGATTCGGGGGGCCCCTCCCCCCTTTTGGATACGCTTCTGATTTATATAAATGTTTTAACAGTCTTCATAGTTTTAATAATACTTTTATCGAAGTCACAGCAATTTTTCCTTTTCAAATATGGCAGGACGTCTATCGCGGCGTCTTCAAATTCTTGTGAATCAAATTTTTTAACTTTTTTCAAATTCTAAGCGGTTTTCAATACTTTGTAAAGCAATACGAGCCCTAATTTGCTCTTTTTCCTACTATTCATTAACGTGTTAACGAAATTTCTATATTTTCTATCCAAAAAATATAAAATCACCATCTGAATTCTACACAAGAGCAAGGCGAACATCTATTTTGAGTATAACTGGTTGCATATTAGTAGTTAGTTTTAAATTAGCGGTTTCATATTTAGCCAAGTAAATCGCTTATTTGTCGAAGATAAAAAATTATAATGGTTGCGTTCCTTGTATTATTATTTTTGGTTTAAGACATATCCAGTTTGTACCGAACTTTTTTATTTTTGAAAAATGTAATTTTTTTTATAAAATAGTAGGTTTTTAACAAATAGATAAACATTTATTTCGGTAAATATTTGAGGCATCGATTTAATTTTTGTTTTAAACTGAAGTAGAAACAAGAACACCTCGAACCCAGTACTAAAACATTTTAAGATGCTACAATATTTATTGTTGAAAGTAAATCGTTTTTCTAGAGTAAATTTCAACGTGCCACAATCTTTTTTATTTTTGAAATAAAGAGAAGGGTTGTAAAAAGATTTTGGAGAAAGAATTATTGATTTACTGTTTATAGTTTTTAACTTTAACGATTTTTTTAATAATGCACCGTCGGAGTAAAGCCTTGTTCAGAGAAAACCAAAGTAGAACTGTCACGTATTATGTGATTTTTTGAATATAAAATATTTTTTTTTAACTACTTGGCTCAGGATAGGGATTGGGACAGGTGCCATTGGGTAAAGTACAATGCTTTTACATGCTTACAGTTCATCAAATTTCTAGAAGTGTTCGACGCCCAGACAGAGAACGCGCTACGTGTGACTAAGATAGCTATTGTACAGTCTGCTAAACAAGTTATTTTAAATAGTTTTTAATATTTTTAGGTACTTAAATTTTAAAAGTGTGGAATAGTTTAGGGATTAAATTGGTCTGATTGGACTTTCTTAGAACGTTTTTAAAAGCAGCTAAAGATAGTATGTAGAATTGAAAATAATTATTATGCCATAAAAGGTGTTTTGGAATTCCTTCAACCTTTTGAAATTGAGTCAGAAAATATAAATTTTATAGGATAGCGGAAAATACCTATAATTTTTTTGTAGGCCTTTGTAAATCGTGGAAATAGTTTATATTTTATTTCTACCTTATTAAGGAAAATGGTACCTATTATTAATAACGGTTGTTTCTGAAACATTACTAAAATTTTCGAAATTTTGTTTTTCTACAAAATAATAAACTATACTATTTAGAAAAAAATTTATTTCTCTTATAATTTTATAAAAAATAACAGGGGAATATTTACACGTACATATACCTCTTAACACTTGTTTGCTTTATTAAAAAAGTGTGTTGTTGTGATTTACGTCGAAATAAGTCAAAAACAACTTGAAACCCCATATAAAATCAAAAAGGAGAAACGGAAAAAAATTGAGCCTGTAAATGAACACAACTCAGAAACAAAAATAGCTATCTAATAATAAAAAAATAAAATTTGATTCTTGTGCAGCTTCATCTATATCATTAACTGTTTTTGGTTTTTTAATGGTTTTTCTTGGTGATGAAAATTCCGATATCTCACGGTTATCGATTCTTTTTTTCTCTCCAGAAATGCGGACGACAGTGTTTTTAGATACTCCTGTGGCTGCAGCAACACGATCATTTACATTTTTAAATGGTATTGAAGGTGAATTAAAGTTTCCTTCTCTTCTCATAAACTCTATAACATTGGCTATTATTTCGCGAGATTGACTGTTAATCACGCGGCCTCTTAATTTGCTATTAAACTCCATACTTAGGTTCTATTAAACTGTAATGAGCAAAAAACACAAGCCTCTAGAAATTTGATGAACTGTACCAGGCATATTTCATTTCGTTATCAGATGACGGTCAAAATTTGCAGTGGGCTCTCGGGCTAATTGCAACAT